AGCACTTTGGAATAGGCAAATCCGCGGGGGATTTAAATATCCCCCGCGGCATTTGTATTTTCATGGCTGCTGTTTTTTTCCGGCTTGTAGATAAGCCGGAGAAAAGCGCCAGTCTGGATGCGATCCTCTGGAAAATAAGCTCTTTTCCGGAGGATCTCTTATTCCTACTTTCAAGTTTCATGCTTCCTTTCAAGTAGGAATAAGAGATCCTCCGGAAAAGAGCTTATTTTCCAGAGGATCGCATCCAGACTGGCGCTTTTCTCCGGCTTATCTACAAGCCGGAAAAAAACAGCAGCCATGAAAATACAAATGCCGCGGGGGATATTTAAATCCCCCGCGGATTTGCCTATTCCAAAGTGCTACATTAGCATCTCTATTACGGAATAGGGGCCAATGTAGACACAGCCATGGGGTGCTATAACGAGAGAGATTCATTAGTATCACTGGTCAATTTGGAGAGAGCATTTCATAGACACTTGTGTCTCCCTTCACCCTTCTTTTCATTAGACTGAATGTCTGGCCTTTCCTCATTAATGTCATGTCACATAATTGCAAACCAATAAGCAGGACTTGCCTGGTACCTAACCAGCTGGGAATCAGTGAAGGTCATTTATGTGCCCCGTATCCTGTTCTGCACAAAGCATCTCTTAGCCAAAGTATTTATTTGACTTGTTGAACCCAACTGATTGTGGAGTTGACCCAATGTTTACATTTCATTTTGTCTTTTTCTTAGGAAACCAGACATGATACAATATTAAGAGGAACAATATGTTTCCATGGACAACAAACTGTTAAGGGAGTTTCAGTTGTTATACCTCCAGGGCTTAAAAAAAGTTCACAGTGGAAAAGTGTAGAACCCTACCCTTATCCTGTTACCTTTGTAGAATTTGGTGCCATGGTCTTAGGCTGTGATTTGAAAAATGTTATGCTATTTCATCTGCATTCATCTGATGAAGTGGGTTTTACCCACAAAAACTCATCATACTATACATTTTTGTTAGTCTCTAAGGTGCCACACAATTCATTGTTTTAAAGTTACAGACTAACATAGCTACCCCACTGAGACTTTTTACCATGCTTCCTCAAGTTATACAAAGCAATTTACACCTGCAGGGACAATTAGATGTAATGAAATACAAAATTTAAACCCTCCTTTTCATTTGTTTGGCATCTCTCTTTTCCAAGATGAATCTAAAAACATGTAAGCGTATAGGAACAGAATTTTCTGCATGATTGTCAATTATAGTACAGATTATATTGTCAACAAAAGGTAGCTGACATGTCTTAAATGGCAGTTTGCATATTTATCTACAATGCTTAAGGATCAGAGAATAGATTCTCTCACCAGGATGCATCACTGTGAAAATGGAACATACAATCAAACAAGTATTTATCATCTTCACTGCTGATGCTGTTTCTCTTCCTTCTTTACTTTCAGGGCTGAAATAGTCTCTCTTTCTTGCTTAGCCTTCTCTTTCGTTCTGTTAATGGTCTGTGTTTCCCTCTCTATTTCCTCAGGGCACATCTACACAACAGGGATAAAGTCAAATTAAGCTACACAACTTGAGCTATGTCAATTGTGTAGCTTTTTGAAATACCTTAACTCGGCTTTTGGTGCTGTCTACACAACAGGAAGTTGAAGGAAGAATACTCTTTTCTTCGACTTCCCTTACTCCTCGTAAAGTGAGGGTTACAGGAGTCACAGTAAGAAGTCCTCCAGCTCGCCATTATTTCAAAATAATGGCTTGTAGTGTAGACATGCTTTTTGTTATTTTGGAATAACGTCAGGTATTCTGAAATAATGCTACTGTGTAGACACAGCCTTAGAGAGCAGCAGGGAGAAGAAAGAGGGTATACCTCCCACACAGGAAAAGTTAAAATCAGTGAGATTTGTTACATTTTCTGAAGTAACCTACAGCATGGCGCACAGAAAAGGTCGCGCTCAGAGCTGACAAATATAGCTTTACTAAGTGAACTAACACTGAACAGTGACCAGGAACATTAACCTACTTCCCATTTTTGGTCCTCTGTTACTGCATTCTGTGTTTAAGGTCCTGATTCAACAAAATGCAGGACAATGTAGCACTTTAAAGACTAACAAGATGGTTTATTAGATGATGAGCTTTCGTGGGCCAGACCCACTTCCTCAGATCAAATAGTGGAAGAAAATAGTCACAACCATATATACCAAAGGATACAATTAAAAAAAATGAACACATATGAAAAGGACAAATCACATTTCAGAACAGGAGGGGGATGCGGGGGGGGGGGGGGAAGGAAGGAAGGTAAGTGTCTGTGAATTGATGATATTTAAGAACTTTCAGACATGTTAAGAGCCTACCCAGGACTATCAATTGTCATGTCAGATCTAGTTATACTCAACAGGTCCAGATCACTCTTTTTTTTAAAAATGAGTATCATTGAACATTTAAGTCAACAAAAAAACATTTCCACAAATTCCTCTGGCAAATAAAGTTTTAAAAACAGAAAAACACTTATTGAATGAAATTATAGTAATGGAAGGAGGAAAGAAAGGTGTATTGATTCACTGACATATATGACATCAGTATGATTTACAAACTCCTCATTAACCATACCAGCCTCCCCACACAAAAACATTAAAAAACATAGAAATATTAGCAAGAATAGCCTTAAAACTTTTCCCCCTGTGAATCGTCTACATCTATTTACAGATTTAAAGGGCTAAATACTCAGTGAATGCAAACCTGGTCAAGTTTTCTTGGTTGAAAGTTCTCTTTAATGAATTATTTTTGATGATGAAAGATTTTAAGACTTTTAAAAACTTGGTCTTTTAAAATAATATTTAAAAAGTATTTGAGATCTAAAACTAAGTTACTTGAACACTTCTGAGCTTAATTATGGTGTAATAATTCACCTGCTATTGTGTCTTATTGCTTAATAGTTCTGCGGTTAGTCAAGAGCAACTTAATTAAGTGTTGAACTGGCAGGGGTTTACAAACTAATTAATGACTCCTTTTGTGCTGATTAAATGTAGAGGCCATTGGGCCTTAGAAGTGTATTCAGCAGCAAAGGAATGGTTTATATATTCATAAACTTCAGCCAGCTGATCATGGGGACCATGACATTACAAGTGATAATTGGTTTCACCATTAAAATGTGTGCGTGTAACTTTATTTCTACAGTGGCATCCTTTGCTAAACAGGCATATGAGAGATTAATATATGGCACAGGCAGAATGAAGTGTCACATGGCAGAAGTTGATTAACTTACTAAGTGAGCAAAGGCAACACCCTGCTATCAATACTCAAGATCCAATTAGCGCAGACAAGGTTGTGCAGAACAAGTGGTTTTGCCTCCTCTTGGAGATGCTTTAATAGTATTCTTTTGGCACAAACATTCAGCAGTGTTTTGCTCCCAACTTAAATCTGGTATGACCCATCTGACTAACAGGATTGCACAGGGTGTTAATTAAGCAGAATTTTAACTCATTGTGTATATGTTCTGATTTTAGATTTGGCTTCCGCAAACACTCATGTATGTGAATAACTTCTGTCCTACTCACAAATTAGGCTACTTGCATGTACATTGGCAGAATCAAGTTCGTAGACAATTCTACACAAATGGCTACAATTTAGAGTTATTTGCCTTTTAGAGTTACTTATAGGAAAGTCAGGATGTTATTTCTTTAATCTTTTATGAGATTGACTGTCTGCTGGAAAGAGAAAGAAATCATTCTATAATGATTGCAAAACTAGTTATTCTTTTTCACTTTTTTAAAATGAAATAGTTGAGGAATTTGTCGTCTGTGTATTTTTAGAATACTTCTTCCTAGAGTTCACAAAAGCATAAAAGAATGCAATATGACTCTTGTATTTCCCAGTGGCTTTGAAGCAAGTCTGAAAAAGGACATGGGAGAAGGAGGATAGATTGTTTATTACCTACCTTTTCCTTCAAAGGTTTTTCCTGTATGTTTTTCTATGGGAATTGTTTTTGCCACTCCTTTATCAATAGTAGATTATTTCTTATTCATTTCCCAGCTTTCTGCTCCTATCCCTTATATCTCCTTTTGTTGTTGGAACATTATCTTCAGTTGAAAATCTTCAGTAGAAAATTATAACTCTCTTGGTCTGAGATGAAAATGCTTTGGTGTATAGAGTGGCTTTTGCATTGGATATCGCATTTACTGAAACTTTACAGCAATCAAGAGGAAAAGCTTTTACAACTCACTTGGCTTCATTTCCCCAGCTCTCTGGAGAATATTTCATTTAGTTTTTAATTCCCTATACTTGTGATCATTGAGACAATTGCTTTACAAAATTCTCCTTGGATAAAAATTCTTGCTCATTTCAGATTGGGATGGAAACCAAACTAGTGAGGAACTATGTTACCCTAGTCAACCTTGGATGCCTTACAATGCCTTCTGGTAGTAGCACCCACCTCGACTACTCACAAACAGCCCTCTGTCATACAAGGCACACACTGAGTATATGTGTGTAACTGCAGCCTGCCACCCCATTGGGATTATGTTAGCTTTTACCAGCTTTAGTTACTTCTACAAGGGATACCCCAAGATGCTCTCAGTTCTAGATTGTCCCCCAAAAATTGTATGTCGTGTACTGCCCAGTCCTCTAATAGTCCACATATGTGAAGTCCACTCCTTTAAGGGAACAATATATATGTAACTTACCACCTTAAACAGAGCCACCAAGACTTTAACTTAAATATGCTGGATTAGATAAAACAAGAAAACAACTCCAAAGAGACAGATTTTAAGGGAGAGTAAGCACAGACAATACAGTCGGAAAGATTACCAGAAAAATAAAGATAAAACACTTTCTAATGCTAAACTTAAACTATATTAGATTCAAGTAAAGTTCCTCTCCACATGCTTCCATCAGTATTGCTGACCAAACTTTCAAGTCAAGATCCCTCTCTCAGAGTACAACAGCTGTTTCCTTTGACTTTTTCAGGTTCAAAAAGTCAGAGGGCCAGGGAGAGATGGGAAGGGTCTATTGGGTTCTTTATCCTTCTTTTTACAGTTTCTTTCCCTCTTTGAAGAGAAGTTCCATATGAGAACCAAAAGACATGGGTTCTGCTGGAGGAAGGAGACCTCATACTGTTTCTTTGCTAAGATGCAGAGCTCTTTGTCCCTGCCTTCCCTTCTTGTCAAAAAATGGCCATGTGGTAAGTGATGGATCATCAGTTTTGTTGATATCTGGCTGGAGCATCAGCTTGCTCTTTGTTTTGCTTTAGCCAGTCCCCAGACTTATCTAGGAAACACACTTCAATAATGATTTCAAGCGTCTCTTCATAACTTTACACATAATGTTGCTACAAACATTTTACCGTGATATTACTGGCCAGCAAGGTAAGTGTTTTCAAATGACATTTCAGAAGGTGTACTTTATACAAAGATTACTACACTGGTGTGCAGGATTTGAATAAAGGAGTGCATTCCGTCACATATTTCAGATAGTACCTTGACAAGGAATAAGTTATTTTCCCAGTCAGAACTCTCAGAAGAAACTTAATAGCATCTGAAGTCCAAATATAATCCCAACATCTTTGGAAGTATACCAGCCTGGTGTAACTTACCCTTTTCACTCTAGATTTATTATGCATTAAAGCCTTTGACCCAAGAAAATTATGTCTCACTTTTTAAAGGAGCATGCGTCTAAGCTCCACTTGGAAAACCTTAGGGTTTAATAACCATTCCACATTACTCATCCAATTCATTCCCTTCATACATCAGAATGAGTTCATGGCTGATATCCTAAAAGATTTAAGCTATCATCTATTGTGGCTTCATCATTTTCTGATGGTTTAAGTGTTCAGAATTTTGCAAGCAGCAAATTTCTAAGCAATCTTGAAGACAGAAATGAGTGGCTCATAGTGTTTCTGTTACAAAAAAAGCCACCTAATATTTATGAACGTATTATCCTCTTGCACCCAAATTATATTTAGTGGGTAATAGAGAAGAGGTCAGAAACCTTAATTTCTATATGGAAACCCCAGGAGAAACATTTCTGAACAGAAGACTAATGAAGCTGCTGGCATGCAAAGACTGTGATCCAAATCACACCATTTTAGAAGTTTGGATCAGATAGCTTCAATGTTAGAGCAGAGGGGGAAAAAGCAGGAAAAGGTTCCCAGATATGTTCATTTGAATTTGAAACAAATCATGATGATTTGACAGAACTCTTGCCTCTTACATGTTCAGTGTTTTTGAACATCTGAATGCTTGAGGTTTATTAGCACATTTCTTGTGAAAAGTGAATTTCTAGCTCAAATTCTGGAATAATCACACAAAGGGGATTTCAAATTATGTATTTTATTATAAAGATAGAAGACGTTCTGTATTGGTGAAATTCAAATGAATAATCGCCCTTTTGGGTTCCTCCAATCGTTTACCATGCCTTTAACATACAGCTTTCTGGTGCACTACTCTGCTTGATTTGGTTAGTGATGATCAACACAATAGTACCTGAGTAGGCCATAGATTTCAGTAGAACTACTTGCAGACTAAGGTTTAGTAGTCACTCTGAGCAACAATTGACCCTACCGGAGGAATAAAGAGAAAAATCAATTTATTAGTCATTGTATAACAAATGTATTCTAATAATTCAATCTGGACCTGATCCAATGATTCAATAAGAATCTTTTGGTTAATGTTGATGGACTTTAGTGGTTTAAATTTAATGGAAAGGAAGGATTTTTGGCTTCTAGAATAGAAGTTCATTTGTACTGGAATAGGTTACCAATGGAGGTGGGGGAATCTCTACCCCTAGAGGTTTTTAAGTCCTGGCTTGACAAAGTCCTGGCTGGGATAATTGAGTTACGGTTGGTCCTGCTTTGGGCAGGGGGCTGGAGTCAATGACCTCCTGAGGTCTCTTCCAGCCCTCGGATTCTATGATTCTATTTTTGCTTTTCTTCTGAAAGTTTTATCATGGACAATTAATTGCTTAATTCATTCATTACCTTTAAAGCTTGTACCTTTCATCAACAGAGATAGTCCAAAATATTATCTCACCTACCTTGTCTATTTAAACTGAATGACAGTCAACACTACAATACTCTGGAAAAAGTTCTCTTTTCTAATGAAGCCAATTGGGAATCAGTCAGTAGAAATTTTACTTTAATTGATCACTGGAGGAAATACACATTTTTTGCTCAGAGTTTGTCCTATAAACCAGAAGACTGGAAAATACAATCTTTTGAAGCAGATTTACTACTCCATTCTGTTTTTTCTGTTTTAACATTTCCTCCTGTTCATTTCCTGTCTGTAGATTCCCTTTTCCCTCTGAAAAATGCATATAAAAAATTGACAAAGTTTAAAGATCATAAGATGAGCTGGTATTCATTCATTTTATATAAAAAAGGGAATCAACCACCTGCATTTTAAATATTTGTGAAATTTGGTACCATGTTAGCAACCCAAATCTGAAGATATCTTATTGATATAGTGGACCAGCACACTTTCACCTTTGGATTCACAGAAAACCTGTATTTCTTAGAGCCATCTTAGTTCCTAGCAAACATCTAACCACAACTCAAAATCAATACTCAACTTGGCACCAATAGAAGTGGCAGGGCTGGTATGCATCAGAGCTGAAAAGTCTTGGCAGAACTGCATGTAGAGGGGACAGAGGAAAACTCAATGCGTGATTTCACATAGTTTCGCTCTCAACCAGTGCCCTTAATTTCCTATTTTCATAGGCAAACTCATATCAACTATATTAAAATCAAATGTTCATGGATTGTGGCAAAACTGACAATCTATGTCTAAAGTTTTAATGTGAGACGTGGCAAGATATGACCTCATCCCTTTTTTTAATAAATAAAAAATTAAGAGATGTTGAAGAGACTTTAAAGAAAAAGTTATGGTTTTATTTAATCATCATGTTTGGAGTTCAGTGACAAACACTTTTAATTCATTCATAAAACTCTGGTCTTGATGTGCGATCAAGGAAAGAGAAAAACAACAATGAACTCTGGAGTGTAGTCAACCAGACACAGAAGCCAGAGGAATTAGTTTCTGAACATTGGTCCTCAGATAGATTTCTCTAACCATTCTTACCTTGTGTCACTTGAGTACTTTTTCCAGCTGCCCATTGCTTCCTGTCTGCCTCACAGTTTCTTTGCTTCAGCCTTGCTCCAGTTGTCCTCCATGGTCTTCATTATCCTCCCTGTGGCGGCATACCCTCCCAGCATGTCCATCAAGGCATCAGTCCTTCCTTGTTCCTGTCCCCAGACTTCTCTCCTAGGTAAGACCTCAAAGACCTCTCCTTCCACCTAGCCTGGCAGCAGTTAGGCAGGGCTTCCCCTTTTCAGCTCCTCCCTCTAGTCTCCAGCTGTCCATTAACCTTTCATGACCTTTAGGGTTTGTACCCCATCACACTCTGCTTGTCTCTGCCTTCCATTTTTGCCCTTTGACCTAATCCTTTCTTGTCTTCCCTCCTCTCCTATCTTTGCCTCAAAATATATTTAATATGCAAAAAGTGCCAAGCAGAACCCCACGCACAAGGTATGTGTGTGTACTTTTGTGGAAATTGTATCACATTTATCTTGTATGTTGAATCTGCAGCTGGTAAAAACTCAAACCACCCTTGGTTCTGTAAACCCAAAATAATCTTTATGTTTGCTTACACGTAGAAGAATAATCAATAGATCATGGAATGTATTCCGCTGTGTATTGATATGACTCTTGCATTCAATTAGCAATGAATTACTCTTCTGCAATGACAAAATAATATTAAGATTTCATTACTATTTAAACAAAGAGCTAGGGGTAACTAGATTATCAAGGATCGACCACTGTAATAAACAACACATTTTCCTGTTTTTACATCATCGGTATCTCAAAAGCCAAAAGCGGGAAAAAAAACCTGTGGATAAGTGCCTTTATCATGCCACATAAATATTACACTGTCTGCAATGTATTACAGTTTTCTCTGTACTCCCAAATATCAGAGTGTAATGAATAAAAACATTTTTACAGAACCTTACGCCTGTCACAGAAAGAAGGATTTTCCACTAAATTTATATCCTTCAGAAAGTTTCTCAGCTGCAACTCTAAACAGAAGCTTCTTATTTTGTACTGATATAAGATGCAATGTGCAAAAGATTCACATAGCTCTCCTTAGCAATGGTATTAGCAAATCTCTGTCTATCTAAAGCTTCTCTCTTTCTAGAAATGGAGCCTGCTGTTATTTCAAAGGCATTTGTTCTCTTTGAAGGAGGCAACGTGTTTTTTTATTTTTATAAACAATCCATACTTCCCCAAATTGCACATTTTAACTATGGCTACATCTCCATCACACAGTGAAAACCCTTTTAATCCCAACATATTTTTATCTAAACCTTAGCTATGGATCACTTTCCCAGAAGCTCAGCTTTTTATCATACATCATGCATGGTTTACTGGATCGAGCAAAGAACTGAAAAGCAAGAATTATATAATCTGGGTATCAACAGTGATTCACTCTGTGGTCTTATGAGAGTTATTCAACTTCTTCCTGCATAAAATAGGGATTATACTCTCCTACCTCATAGGAATATAGTCAGAAGCAATATTTGTCAAGTAGCTGGAAATGAATTGGGAATGAGAATAAACTCCCTGTAATAGTGTTCGTAGATGCACAGCAAGTTATACATTTTGGGGTAGGGTTGTTCCTGCTTGTTGTCACTAAAAGTAGTTCAGGATTGTGTGAGTGTGTATGAGAGAGATTCATCAGCTTCACCCCCCGCCCCCGACAAAAAAAAAAAAAAAAAAAAAAAAGATTGCAAAAAAGCACCAAGGCAAAGATCCTCAAAGATATTTAAGCATGCAACTCCCATTGATTTCCATGGAAGTAAGAAGCCAAACACCTTTAAGGTTCTGGACCCAAATAAATACTATAACCAAAATGAAAGTTATACCGACCACCCCACCTGGACTGGGAAAAACTTCCTAGAACCAGAGAAGGAAGAAGAGCTGAAGACTACATTTGCATGAGAACCCTTGCTTGAACAATCAAATTAACCTAGCTTGTATACTTCGATATTGTGCACCATTTCAAAACTTTTGGAGAGACTGGTGCACAGGTGCTAGAACTAAGAGTGTGGGGTGTGCTGCCGCACCTTAGGGATTGAAGTGTTTTCTATTATGTACAGGGTTTACAGTTTGGTCCAATGTCTCTCAGCAGCTCCACTGTGAAAATTGTTCCACTATCCCAGGACTGGTGTGGATTTTATGCCTGGCTTGGACCAATCTCATGGAGGCCTTTGAATATCAGACCTCTGATATATCTAGAATTGAACCATGACCAGTGGGAATTCAGCGATAAGTGTATGGGAACCTGTGTTGCTAAAGCAGCATGGCTGCTTCATTTTGTACTGGCTTGAATATTTTCAGCACCAGTGGCTTCATTTGGTTGTGTTGGGTGAGTGCGTTGCTGATGAGGTAAGTCATTTACAATATGACAGAAAAATGTGATAGGAGTATTGGGCAGAATCTATGTGTAGGTCTCATTCCTGGGTTTTTTTGTTTTGTTTTTTGGCATTCCACTGTTTCTTTACCCTCACCCCTTTTTCATTTCCAGCTGCCATTCATCTGTGTCTGTACATTCGGTGCTTTTATATAGCTGCCTTATTACATGCCATGGGGATTTTCTTTCATCTGCCATATTGAATGAACCATCTAACTTCATTCTCCTGCCTTAGTTTCCAGCGCACATGGTTTTTAAAGGAAGGCTGATAGAAATATCAGAGTAACTTACACAATCACTTCATCCATCCTTGGCCTCTTTTATCTTTCCCTTGGCTCTTGGTGGACAGGCATGAGATCAGAGTCTTCTGGTTCTTCTTTGGTTTTGAACTGAACTGGACTTTCAAGTTCTGACAGGGAAAAAAGATACCCTTTGATCCTTACAAAGCACAGCAATACAGAAATATTAATACCCTTCCTCCCCTTTTCAGGAAGGAGTTTTAGAAACACCATACGAATGTTTTGAAGCAACAAATACTCCTGTCATTCACCTTATAGACTCACTACTTTCTTTCTTCAATGTATTTGATCCTGTCTTGTTCTATAACTTAAGTTCAAATGACATCTTATATTAGATACAGAAATACAGATTTTCGTGCTGTGACAACTAAATTATCATACAAACTAAACTTTACAGCTGTTATTAATGGTCCCCTGATTTAAGTATCTTTTTTTTTCTTTTTTCATTACCTTTTCTTTCCCATCCTCCTTGGACATACAGAAGGATTCTTCTTCCACCTTTGGGAAGATCTCCACCATTTTAATGGTAAAGGACCATAATGTAGAGTTTGCAAATAGGCATACACCAGACACACGTTACCCAATTTATAAATGCAAAAAGGGTATGTCTCACTGTACTAATAAGAGTTGATGTATATCAGTAACACAGACTGCAGCCTTTCATGAGCTACAACTCACTTCATCAGATGCTGAAGAAAGACAGTATGATATCAGTGCTAATTAAATCGGCCCCATGCATTCTGGTTTAAATAGTACTGATGTCATACAGTCTTTTCTGTATCCTTTTTTTAATTCTTCAGCATCTGAGGAAGTGAACTGTAGCTCACAAAAGCTTATGTCCTAATACCCTAATACATTTGTTAGTCCTTAACTAGTTTCTGTAAAAGGGATGCTAATGAGACACTTCGGAATTGCAAATGCCGCGGGGAATTTAAATATCCCCCGCGGCATTTGCATGAACATGGCTTCCGCTTTCAAGTAGGAATAAGGGATCTTCCGGAAAAGGGTTTATTTTCCGCAAGATCCCGTCTAGACTGGCGCTTTTCTCTGGCAAAACCCCGAGCCGGAAAAAAGCGGCAGCCATGTTCATGCAAATGCCGCGGGGGATATTTAAATTCCCCGCGGCATTTGCAATTCCGAAGTGTCTCATTAGCATCCCTTTTACAGAAACTAGTTAAGGACTAACAAATGTATTAGGGTATTAGGACATAAGCTTTTGTGAGCTACAGTTCACTTCCTCAGATGCTGAAGAATTAAAAAAAGGATACAGAAAAGACTGTATGACATCAGTACTATTTAAACCAGAATGCATGGGGCCGATTTAATTAGCACTGATATCATACTGTCTTTCTTCAGCATCTGATGAAGTGAGTTGTAGCTCATGAAAGGCTGCATACAGCAAACCTTTATTTCCAAACAATGGTGAGCACAAGGACTTCTTTCTCCAACTTCTGTAACCCTCATTTCACGAGGAGTAAAGAACACTTCCTTTGACTTCCTGCTATGTAGACAGCACCAAAAGCTGAATTAAGTTATTTCAACTTAAGCTATGCAATTGATGTAGCTCTAGTTGCACAGCTTAATCCGAGTTTTGCCCTGCTGTGTAGACATACCCTTAGTCTTACTTTAAAAAACCGTCCTTCCCCACATAGAATACAGTAAAACTCCATTAGTCAGGCATCCAATGCTCCGGCACTCCTGATGGTCCGGCACCATCAGGAACCCGGAAGTGCTCGGGGCAGCCAGACAATTGGAGCTGCTCTGCGCCCGGCTTCCCCAATTCAGCCGCTGCTGAAACTGACCAGCAGCTGAATCAGGGAAGCTGGGGGCAGAGCAGCTGGAGTGCTGCAGGTAGGTCCCTTAGGGTTGCCCCTCAGCAGCTACAGAGTCCTGTTTTTTATCAGTGTCTCTTTTAAACTGTATGGCAGCAGAACGGCGCC